TATTGCCCTTAAAATAATAAATGAAGATTAATAAACATTTCATTTTTCGTAGAAACAGCTGAACGGATCTGGATGAAATTTGGCACAGAGATAGATTATAGTCTGAAATAGCACATAGGTTACTTTTTAGCTCGAAAGAATGTACGATTCCCGTGGGATAGATTTGTTTTTGTTTTTCACAGAGCAAGGGTTCGACTATCCAATTCATACTAGCCGTTAAAACGTACCTAGGGACGAACCCGTTACCCGAGCAAAGCGAGGTTGAGTCGCTAGTATATAAATACAGAATTCAATGCACTGTTTTAATGAGAAAAGAAAGAAAAAACACACTTAAGCCTGCAACAAAGGCAATTATACCGAAGCTCAAACTACTGATGGACCTCATAACGAGATAAAACAAAGATCCATTTACATACCCTATTAATAATAATACTATCAAAATAAAAAATAATACTGAAATATTTAGCTAAAATCTAGAATCTAGAATAAAATTTCTACTAAATTTTATATTTTTACACTGTATAGTTTTAATTTAAATACGTTTGTCTTGCTCACAGAAGGCGAAATTCGTGGTCTAACTAATATTATTTTATGTTTAAAAATTTAATGATAAGAAAGTAAAATGTACTTAAGCATATACTATCGTCATACAAAAAAGACTTTTAAGCTGAATTCTTTTCTCAAAGCTCTTTGCATATTTAGCATCAGTAGAAAATACGCATCTTTTAATCTTACTTAAACTAACTTAGTAAAAAATCGTTATTTATCATTAATGGAAATCTAGCAATAGAAAGATATTTGTATATTTCTCTTATTTTCTCCTATTGTGAAATTGGGTGAACAATGTCCATGAAACATATTAGAATTACTGCCATAACGTGTAAATTAAGTGAGAAAGCACCGAAACAAACCGAACAAAAAGCCAATTTGTTTCTCTCCGAGAAATTAAAATACAGCCAGAAATTATACCTACGAGCTGATATTGTTTAATTAATAATATAAGATACTAATATTAGTAATCAATTATGATCAGTAAAGCATTTCAAATGCTCGTATTTAATTTAATTGCTTGACTTGATATGGGTTAAATGGCTTGAGTGGCAGTTCAAAGGTAGGAGAAAACACTTGATCTACGAGTATCTATCAGTTATGTTGTTTGCTAGGTCAATAAAGTTAACAATTTACTGGAATTGTTCTTACACTAAACTAGTCGTTTTCTAAGTTTCATTCAAGGTGTGCGTCTTTTCGTATTTTTGCACATAGTAGGGCATGACTTACTTATGTATATACCTGAATACATAACACCATTTAATATATCGTAATTAATAGGGTAAAAAATAGTTCAAGTCACTTTCCACCCTGTAATTATTATATATTGATAAGTTGTGTTGTTCTTATTATCGGACTATACTCACGCAATTATAATACTGCTAGCGACTTACTCCCCCTTCGTTTGGGATGCACTTAAAAACCTAAGTGATAGTCTATCTGTGAAGTAAATTTCTCCCAAACCTGTCCAGTCGTTTCAACGTGAATGAGTATCTAGCTTATACAAATCTAGCTGTTATAATAACTGCCTGATAAAAAAATACAAGGTAACGATCTAAAAAAATAAAACCATTAAACAAATAAAAAATTTGTGTTTAATGCGTACTATACTCGAATCTGTTAGGAAATCTATACATATAATAAAATGCTGAGTCGAATCTGTACATTAAATATATTTTGGAAAATCTTATTGAAATAGTCATTATTATCGATACAGAGGTCGAATTTATAGATTTTAGAGATTTTAGAATTTTTGTCCGTCTGTCTGTATGTTTGGGAACGCATCACGAGATAATCTCTGGACAGATTTTGATGAAATTTGGTATGATGATAGCTGGTTATCCGGCTACATATAGGATACTTTTATTGCGGGAAAATATTTCATCTCCGAAAAATCTTTACTAACCACTAGAACGTAGGAACGAACCCGAGCGGAGCGAAGGCGAGTCGCTAGTAATTAATAATATTCAGAAAAATCAGTTTATGTAACATTATGTTATTTAAACTATTCTTCTGTTTGAAATAAGGTATGTATTTTCGGTTGAAGACCGTAACGATACAAGTGGAGCAGATATTTGGCGCTCGCCCAGCCCTCGTAAATCGAGTATGCCTATTTACTTACTAGTTTGCGACCAACGGGATACAATAGTGACAAACTAACCGGATATTTAGAAACCACTGGTTTGGAATGAAAATTGTGTTCGAAATTTTAACATTTTTATCATGTTTATATAAGTTTCAACTTTAATTAGTTAAAGAACTATGTTGAAGGGTACAGGAAAAACAGCGAATGTCCTAATGAAGAGATTATGAGAAAAAAGCAATTTTGAAGTTTAGAAGTATAAAAATTTTATTGAGATCAAAGTATGCAGAACTTTTTACTATGTAGATTTTTTGAAAACCCTTCTTTACCATGTCATGACATTTTTAATATCCATTCTAACGTTATAATTAACAAAATATCATACTTAATCTCCATTTTATGGAACCGTTTGACGGTGATGACATTGTGAGCCACGATCCCATATCATTGGGTATTACTTGTGGACTTTGTGGTCAAGATGTGTCTAACAATAATATGAAAAATACACTCGCTTTTCTATAGATGCTGTACGGAATTGACACTTTACGCAACCAGTTGCAGGTTCGATTCCTTATAGAAACAATTTTTACTATGCTAATTAATATACTTATGACCATGTTCTTTTGCTGGCTTGCTCATTTTTCACGCAGCAATCTGGGGGCGTAAATATAGAGTACCTAGGAGACCAAACTTCGCTCGGCGTTTTGTAAAGTAGTATTTTTTCGGAAAAGATGTAAAAATTGCGTTTTTCTATCAGATAAGAACCCTTAAATAGACCAATTTATAAAAGAAAACCGTATCTAAATACAAATTTTGATCCAAATCTTTAGAATCGTTTTCGAGATACACGAAATAGATGTATACAAGAATTGCTCATTTAATATGATAAGCTAATAGAAATAGAAATCTAAAAATATACATGGGAATGATATATAATATGATTCTATGGTTTAATGGTTTTTCTGTATAATCTTTGAAAATTTCTATTCGATTTTAGAATAACATTTTATCTTAGCCCTTCAATAGAGATAACTAGCATTGCCCGCGGCTTCGCCCGCGTTCAGATGACCCAAAACCAAATTCTTAGGTTTTACATATTACTATACTCTTCAAATGCGGTTTTTGTATTTTTTCTCAGAAATGTGATATTTTACCGCGGTAAAAGTATCCTATATGTTGACCCGGATAGCCAGCTACCATCATACCAAATTTCATTAAAATCTGTTCAGTGGTTTTCTCGTGATGCGGTAACAGACAGACAGACAGACAGACAGACAGACAGACAAAAATTCTAAAAACTATAGATTCGGACTCTGTATCGATAATAATGTCTATTTCAATTAGATTTTCCAAAGAATATTAATTATAAAGATTCGACTTAGTTACAATTTTATTATATGTATAGATTTATGGGATGAAGAGTGTCATAGACTACTGTGTTTCCTAATAAGTCATTAATAAATATATTACCCTATTGTAAAATTTTAAAAGGGCGAGTCACAAGTATTAAGGTAGGTTAAAAATTAAATTAACAATGTGTTAGTTTTTGTTAAAAAAAACCTTACATTGTATCTTCCAACTTCCATTGCATAGTTGTGGCACTAAAAACTTTAAACTATTTTAAAACATTTGTACCAACTGATGTTGGACTAATTTAATTCGCTACAGTTTTTACAAAAGAAGGAAAAATATATCCGGAAATGTAAATGAAAGTCGGCTTACGTTGAATTTTCGTATTCAAATTCTATTTTCTTAAGACAATTTGCAATTAAATCAGTTAATTTACGTTTTTTTTCTTATTTACTAAATTATAATTGACTTTTTAAGATTCCGTGGCTAAATGGAAAACCGTTACGTATTTAGTCTCTTCTTATGTCACAGCATTTTACTCTATAGGTCTTGAACATAGTCTCTCTTTACCTAGGGCCGCCTTAACCATCCAGGGTATTGGGCACATAACAATTTAGGGCCCTTTAGAAAAAAAATATATGTGAATGGTAAGAAAAAAAATTACAAAAAAAATGATGGAGTATTTTATAGGGTATTTAACTTTTATAACCAAAAAATAATATTATTGCTATATTTAATTATAAAACTTATTAAAAAAAATGATTAGAATTAAAATCAACAAATATTGTATGGTACTTTGATGCCATTTTTTGAATTTTTGAAATCCTTTTTAAAATTGTGTGTAGGTACTGTCTGTAACAAGCATATAACGCCTTTGAGACATCTAAAACCTTAGTCTCTCCCGTGACCATGATTGTTGTAAAGCATTCGAAACGTCGGGAACCAAAATTCACAATAAATCCGCGAAATAATCCGAAAAGATAGTTCTATTAAAAAAATGTTATTATTAAAAAGCTTATAAGTGCAATCACGGGGTGCAAGCTCCAAGAGTTTTATGTAGCCGCTATCATTTATAAGCTCTACTTCAAGACGCAACTCAATTTTATTGCAAGATATTATTTGAAAGAGGAAGCAATGTGAGCCAATGATTTGTACAATAAAATTGTAACATAATAAAAGTTTATTCCTGTATTAGTGACTTACTCTCTATTAGGCTTTATGGTAGTCGAAGTCAAAATTTTGCACACACGCACGTGAACACATACGCAAGCACGCACGCACATACACATGCACACACACACACGCAGATGCACACTCATATATAATAGTAGTGTAATTCTGTGTGTTTCTTTTATCACTGTAAGTTCTAATTTGATTATAAATAAGTCAACTAAGTTTTTTTGCGACGGCAACAAATGTTAGTGCAAATTTAATAATATATATGGAATCAGAAGCCAACATTATGGAATCAGAAAGCCGACATCTTCTCTGAAAAAAAAACAGCAAAAGATTAAGAATTATGATGCTGAATCCTGATAATAATTTACTATCACGATTCTGCATGTGCACCGGGAAACCGCCGTCAAACGAGTGCCCCGAGCATCGCTGGTCATCTCACATTCCCCGCATGGAGAGTAGGGAAACGGCTTCAGGGCATAGCCCTCTGGCCGTGGGTTCTTCCGCCGCCCAAAACTATGGGAGCATCCCTGGAAGGACTCACCTGGGACCCTGCTAAGCTTCGGAGGTGTAGAGAGCCGCCCGGACGATCAGTCCAGCCGGTAGAGACCCTGTTCAGGGAGGCCCGGCTAGGCGATCAATATGTCCCGAGCCACATCGTGTGCCACATTTTATAGAGTTTTGGTGATGGGGGTTTTGCCTGTTGCACGTGCTGCTCACTTTAGATGGCGCGCCGTCATATATAATAAGTAACTTACCTATATTATTATAATAAGTCTTTTCCGATTTTCGATTGCATACAAATAAAGTTATTTTATATGTTCAATATTTCAAAATTCGGACATCACATTGTTTCAAAAGTAACATTAAACCGAACTCTGCAGCACTTGGCTTGTTAATTCTGAAATGTAAAGACGCCACCTGCCGGCTAAGAGGTAATTAGCATTTTGCTACTTGTTCGATATTTTAACTGCGTAATTAAGATGCTATAAACACCCGCTGAGATTCTAGAAGTACAATACAGTATGAACTTTTATTATAAACAGTAGAGTTAATTAGAAATATATAGTTAAGATAATGTTAAAACAAAGTTAAAATAATGAAGGGTTAAAAAGCTTAGATAAACATCATAAAATAGATAATCAGTATAGATATAATTAAAGTGGCTGATGGCGATTGTAATATATATATATATATATATTTGCATACATACTAGCGCATACGATAGATAGACGTTGACCTTTTTTGGTTGTAAAATTAGAAAAAAATATCGATCGAGAACAGCGCCATCTATTGGGTCCAAATATAACTAAAAAAATCGGCAGGAGAAGAATGACAAAATCCACCGGAGTTTTATATAAATAATATATAAATATAATATGGTTGATTGAAATGAATACGAATGAGAAATGTAAGAATACCTACATATATGCATTTATTTTACTATTTTTAACAAATACCACATCCATAATATGAAATGATACAAGTGAACTTCATTGCTTTTTTATTCTTCTTCCAATATACCACCATTTTCTAGAATAAATGCTAGTTGGGTTTCATTTTCTCTGTCACATCACGGGTGATTTAATCCTCAAACAGTTCCATTGAATAGCTCCAATTAGCGACCACTCTGTGCGCCATTACCCTTTTCTGTTACATACGTCTAGATAGGGTGAACTGCCCTATTTCTGTATTGTCAATCATAGTATAAAAATTATTAATTAATAGTGATTCTTGTTAATAACTAGCAACTTACCCTTACTTCGCTCAGATTCGTTCCTAGATGTCTTACAATGCTTAATACGTTATTCCATGTCAAAACTCATATCAAGTCTATCTGCGTACCAATTTTAATCCAAATCCGTCAAGTCTTTTCAGCATAACAAACATATACACAAACATGTAAACATACAAACTTTCTCATCTTGAATCAGATTTTAGTTGGTAGATAGAAAAGTCTATATTTTGTCAACATAGAATATACTCGTACATAAAGTAGTTTTATTTATATTTTAAGTTAAATCCGCTAAGCCGAATGTGAAGAAATAACGAAAAAAGTACATAATATACTCATAAGTTGACAAGCTTGTATATTGTGTAAAGGTAGTATATATAGTTAGCGTATAAAAAAATCGCTTCTCCTCTTTCCACCTACAGAGGCAGTGTAAATGGTGGTGTAAATGGTAATTACGTATAATATTTGACCATGCACCAATCAAACCTAAATCTCTGACACATAGACAATGGCTAGCAGTTAGACATGTAACTCACAGCTTTTTAACAATGGCTAGTCACATTATGCATGATAATAGAATCACAATATTATGGAATATGATAATACTTTTAATAAGTAGCATTACAATTTTTATTATAAATGTTCTCCATTCATTTTAACTGATGGCTAAGTGCCCAAACCGAGATGTATTTCACAGTGGAAATGCTTAATAACTCCTCGCCAGATGCACGTACAGGGAAGAAATTCTTGCAAAGTATGTTAGTAAATCTTGACTTAATGGTCGCAGTAGATGCTACATTTGTAGTTGTTCTTTAAAATATTTCTGCATACTTTAAAATATATTTGCTTTTCTAAGGTTTTAAAGTTTTCTTGGAGGTCAAATGTTAGACGTACAAATGTTATAAACTGTAATTTCTGAGAGTAAATATCGCTTGAACCGCTCCCGCCTCGAGGGAAAACTATTCACTTAATCCGGCAATTTTCGATGCATTCATGATGAAATACTTAGAGCTCTAACTTATTAACATCGCTTTTGCTTATTACGTCTTGTGAAATTATTGAGATGAAAAAGAAAATTTACAAACATGTTAAATTTTTTACTTTTAACGTGAAACTTAAATCCATTATTTTTTTTATTTATACAAACTTGACGAGATGAATTTTTGAACGATATAATATATCTATACTAATTCATAAAGCTGAAGTTTGTTTTTATGGATATGCTAATCTGGGACTATTAATCTCTTTTGAAAAATTCTTTTTATATTTTATAGCCTATTTTTCGAAGATGGTTATAATCTATAGACTACTTAATATCACCATGACCTAAACAGAGAAGCAAAACATTATCTATAGATTGAAAACTATACGGACGGAGCCGCGGGTCATAGTAGTTATTTTAGTATAATTCTTATGACGGAAAAAGAACATATTGATTTAAAAATTCTTTATATATTTGTGATTTAACCAAAAACATAATAAAAGAAATACCTTTAATCTTTTCCTATAATAACAATATTGATCAAACATATAATTCTACTACGGTACCGATAACGAAACTTTCTTACAATACATTTACGTATCATTTATCCCGCAGGTAAAGTGCCTTGATGTTGAAATTTAATTTCCGATTCACGTCAGTAAATACGGTTGTATTAGTTATAAACCACTTCCGTAGTACGCTCTATATTACACTTCGGAACATATGTACAATCATGATAGCTTTTTTGAGATAAAGTAGAGAACTATTTTTGTATTTTACCGTTCTTTTATAGATATAGTATTCGCTTAATAGTCAAAATTCGGGTTTATTTTTATTGAATATTTGAGAGAAATATACATACACTAGCATTGTCCGTGGCTCCGCCCGCGTTCGCGTTTGCTTTGTATAGGCTGGCGCCGATTTCGAAAATATTTGATTAAGTATGTATTTAATAGGTAAGTTTTAATTACTTAGCCAAAGCACACCGACTTCGAAAATATTTGATTAGGTATGTATAGTAAATGAAAACTACCAATCAGTTATTTTTTACTTTTTAGTGCTTTTGTTTAAAGGCGGTTTTTATTTTTTTGTTAAAAAGTTTTTATTTTTTCCTTTTTAGTGTAGACAGTAGTAGCATAGTAAGGATTCTAACGTGTTAGGCTTGTCAAATCAAACAAAATAAGCCCAAACTCAAAGTATCTACTATTAGCCGTTGAAGAGTTCCACCTATCCACCTTCTGGCCTTGCCATCAGATCAGGTCAACAACACCAAACCACTGTACTATCAACGGAAATAGAAATACTTGCAAAGTTTCAAGTCAATATGACAATTAGAAGTAGGTTAAATTCATCATTAGTTGTTTTTCCACCCTTAGGGGTGGTATTTTTTTTTTTGAAATTTAAATGGGACCAATCTGGAAGTATACCCTTTCAAACAAAACAAAAATTGTCCAAATCGGTTAATAAATGACGGAGTTCTGAGGTAACAAACATAAAAAAAAAACATACAGTCGAATTGAGAATCTCCTCCTTTTTGAAGTCGGTTGAAAATCACACCTAAATAGAAAGCGTTTTCGTTCTTTAGCCAATAAAAGTAAGTACCTGGGTGACCGAGCTTCACAGACAGACTTTAAAACTTATAATATTAGTAGGGATAAAGTTCATATAAAGTATAATACAGGGTATCTATATCGCCCACAATACGACCCCTTGCCGGGATATCCTCAGGAAGTCAGACTGTACTGTCTAGTCGAAGTCATTTTGCCTACAATGAGAGGTTCAGTAATTTTGTCTTTTTTTTTTAACTAAAGACACGTTTGGCTCAGTTTGTAGTAAGCCTACTTGTTGTGCCAGCGGTCGGGGATTGGAGTCCCGTTGGAGAGTATAGGTTAATAAAAAAAATATTATGGTCGATTGTGACTAGTATTTTAAAACTATTTTAAATATATAAAAATTTTTATTGAAATCAAAGTTTGCTGTAACTTTTAATATTAATTATTTTTGGACAATCCTTCTTTGCTGGTACGTCATGGACATTCCCAGTTCTTTTCGCTTTCGGAAAAAGTAAAAACATATTCTTAGCGACATCCGTTGAGTGTTTGTAAAAACTAGTGGTTGAAATCCACTTGCCATAGGAATTAGACATAGATTTGTTATCAGTATAAAAAATAAATAAATTTTGCCATTTCTTGTTTTTTGCCTGAACCCTTCATTTAACCCTCTCCTATATACGGTAATAGTTCATTTTACCCTATCCCTATAGCGTACTTGTGATTTTTTCTGCTAGGAACAGTTTCAACGCGGAATGCTCTATTGAACGCGGTTGGCAGACGGCCTTTCATCCTCTGCCATTGAAAAAAGTTGACGCCCTCGCTCACTTGCATTTTAAATTGAACTGTGAACTCTACTGCGTAGGCAAAGGTCCTATCTTATATAACTTACCTTTTAGTTTTAATAAGATATAAGATTTACTTGTGATTTTGCCTCTTTCTTACGGTTTTGTTAGATTTTTTCAAGTTATTTTATTGTAAGGAATTCAAACACGTGATATATATTATTAATAAAACAATTTATTCATTAAAATTGTATGTATTTATCTATTTCGCGATTTTTTTACGATTTTTTTACTAAGAAATCATATCAAACGATTGAATAAAACGATTCAAAGATAAAAAACAATTATTTTCATATTAACTATATGTTGTTTTAATATATAAATTTTTAAATAAAAACTTACAGAAAGTGAAATCGAATTAAAGATAATTAATCTATTATTAGGGGTAGAATTTATCAAATTGGTGTAACAAATACACAAACATACATTTCAACATATGATCCT